AATATATCTATTAAGTCCATCTGGTCTGGTGTGTAATTCAAAGACCTTGTTTCCTTGTTGATCTGCTTAGATGATCTGCCCATTGCAGTGAGGGGGGTGTTGAAGTCCCCTACTATTATTGTACTATTATCAATGTGTTTCTTTAATTTTGTTATTAATTGGTTTGTATAATTGGCTGCTCCCAAGTTAGGGGCATAAATATTTACAATTGTTAGATCTTCTTGTTGGGTAGACCCTTTTATTATGATAGAGTGTCCTTTTTCATCTCTTATTACAGTCTTTGGTTTAAAATCTAGTTTGATATAAGGATGGCTACTCCAGCTTTCTTTTGATGTCCATTATCATGATAGATGGTGCTCCACCCCCTCACTCTCAATTTGGAGGTGTCTTTGGGTCTAAAATGAGTCTCTTGTAGACAGCATATCAATGGGTCTTGTTTTTTATCCACTCTGATATCCTGTGTCTTTTAATGGGAACATTTAGTCCATTTATGTTCAAAGTAATTAGTGAAAGATAGGAAGTTAGTTACCATTGTATTATCTGTAAAGTCACTGTTTCTGTAGATTGTCACTGTTCCTTTCTGCTGTTTGTTACTTTTGGGCTCTCTCTTCCCTCGAAGGATTCCTTTTAATATTTCTTGCAGGGCTGGTGTAGTGATCACAGATTCCTTTAGATTTGTTTAACCTGGACACTCTTTATCTCTCCTATTCTGAATGACAGCCTTGCTGGATAAAGTATTCTTGGTTGCATATTTTTCTCATTTGTTACCTTGAATATATCATGCCAGTTCTTCCTGGCCTGCCAGGTCTCTATGGACAGTTCTGCTGCCAGCTTTATGTTTCTACCCTTGTAGGTTACAGACCTCTTGTCCTGAGCTGCTTTCAGGTTTTTTCTTTGTCTCTGAAATTTGCAAGCTTCACTATTGTATGTCAAGGTGTTGACCTCTTTTTATTGATTTTGAGGGGGCGTCTCTGTCCCTCCTGGACTTGAATGCCTGTTTCCTTCCCCCTTCACCTTCTGGGACCCGCTATTATCTGGATATTATTTCACTTTATGGAATCACTGATTTCTGGAAGTCTTCCTTCGTGATCCAATAGTTGTCTTTCTCTCTTCAGCTTCCTTATTTTCCATTATTTTGTCTTCTATATCACTGACTCTCTCCTCTGCCTCATTTATCATCTCTGTTAGAGCCTCCATTTTTACTGCATCTGAGTAATAGCATTTTTAATTTTGGCCTGATTGTATTTTAGTTCTTTTATTTCTACAGTAAGGGATTCTCTATTATCTTCCATGCTTTTTTCAAACCCAGCTCGTATCTTTTTTTTTTAATTTTTGTTATTTTTTTAAAGATTTTATTTATTTATTTGACAGAGAGACACAGCGAGAGAGGGAACATAAGCAGGGGGAGTGGGAGAGGGAGAAGCAGGCTTCCCGCCGAGCAGGGAGCCCAATGTGGGGCTCGATCCCAGGACCCTGAGATCACGACCTGAGCTGAAGGCAGACGCTTAACAGCTGAGCCACCCAGGCACCCCAACCCAGCTCGTATCTTTATAGTCATTTTAAGTTCTAGTTCAGACCTGTTACTTATATCCATATTGATTAAATCCCTGGCAGTGAGTGCTACTTCCTGTTAAGTTTCTCCGTCTCGTCATTATGTCCAGAAAAGAATAGAAGAAAGAGAGAGAGAGAAAAGACAACAATACTTCCAAAAAGTGGCTGCTTTTCTATTTGTAGCATTGCAGCATTTCTTTTATCACATCTCCAGTTGATATTGCAAGTGTTCAGAATGATTTGATAATTATCTAGCTGAATTCCAGGCACAAGACAAACATAGGGTCCTCTCCTCCTCTGCCATGTTAACTCCAGAAGCCACATCACATTTAAAATATTTTTTCATATTAATGCATTATAGCAATGATTATTCAACAGTTTTCTTATTTGTACAATGTGGCAGTAGAACTAATTAGAAGATCTATGTGATTCCTTCTGGTTTGAAAGTTTATTTCTGCCATCACTTTAATATTCATGTATATACATATATTGTTATTTTGTCTCTTATTTCTTTCCCTACAAATTAGCACCTATTGGTTGCTTTTGAATACACATCTTCCTCAACTTATGATGTGGTTATGTCCCAATAAGTCCATTTTAAGATGAAAATATTTTAAGTTGAAAATACATTTAATACACCTAACCTACCAAACATCATAGCTTAGCCCAGCCTACTTTAAACATGCTTAGAACACTTCACATTAGCCTGCAGTTGGGCAGAATCATCTAACAAAAAGCCTATTTTATAATGAAGTGTTGAATATTTCATATAATTTACTGAATACTGTACTGAAAGTGAAAGAATGGTTTTATGGGTACAAAGTGGTTGTCAGTATACCAGTTGTTTACCCTTAGATTGCATGGCTGGATAGGAGCTTTGACTGCCGCTGCCCAGCATCATGAAAATGTATCATCACATACCACTAGTCTGGGAAAAGATAAAAATTCAAAATTTGAAGTGTGGTTTCCTTAGAATGTGTTATTGCTTTCACATCATTGTGAAGTCGAAAAATCGTAAGTTGAGTCATAAGTCAGGACCAGCTGTAATGACTTTGGTTATTTGGGAAGAATCCAGTCCCCTGAATATAGTTCAGTGCTTTTTTACATAACTGCTGTCTACCCAATGCATTTTTCACAGATGCCAATTCTGATTAGAAACAGGTTCTTGGAAGTATTTTCTAACCTGAAAAGTTTGCTCCATTCCTCTCTTTTGGTTTCACTTTATGTTAATTCAACTCTGTTTCACATCCTCCTTTCTGCTTTCTGGGGCTCATTTCTCCAAGCCCATGCTTGCAGAAAAGTGGAAATGGAGATTAACTGGTATTCATCTCTCTAGATTCCCCAGTTAGAGTTTCTGCAGCTCAGAAAAGAGATGAGTTGTAAGGACCTTGAAATTAATTGGAGTAAATGACGAAATAAGAACTGTCCTATGAAACATTCCATTCAATTTAGCTGTCAATTCAGTATTTTAAAGTATATCTGTTATTTCTTACCACTTCCAAAGTTGTAAGTGATTAAGTTAAATTAAAATAGAGGAATTATTGAGTTTGTTACTTGTCTAAGACTTATTTTGCCTAACAGAATTAGAGAACATAAAGCCAGAAAGAATTTGAAAACAGTTACCCAAAGGATTTATATGAAATGAAGGTATGATTTGGTATTAGCAAGGCCAAGAATCTGTATGTTATTAAGTACAATAATATGATCTTGATTGAAAAAAGAGATACATTGTAATCCACTGCATAGAAATAGTAAATGAAAAGCAAAGTTAAGTAACTTTTAGATCAGGTTTAAAGCATACTTTATGTGTGTTGAAATGTTGTATTTCTTAGAGATTCGTGGAGTTTAGGGAAATTCAGATGCAGAAACAGGATTGAAGACAGGAACATTTTGAAAATAGAGGTTGAGGAGAAATGATCATTTGGGAACATGTAAATAGGTAGTAGATTAGTGTCATCCGTCCTGTAGTAATAATACAGGGCAGATGAAAACAAGAGGAAGTAATGATGTATAATAAAGAATCTGACCTGGCCCAAAGACAGGTCTGGGCTTTGCCTGCAGCTTCTAGGAGGTAATCTATGTCATACCTCACAGGAATATCTTTGTTTAGGGTGAGAGCCAGTCACAATGGATTTTAGGGTGGGGCTGGCCACACTTGACAGTCTTAGCCATGCCAGAAAAACCACATGATTTAGAGCAAGGGGCACTGAGTCAGCTGGGATCAGTCCACCTGCAAGCTGAGATCAACCACCCAGGTAATCACTCAGTCATACCCGTGTAATAGAGCCTCTATAAAATCTTTGAACGCTGAAGTTCGGGCAGGTTTCCCTGGTTGGCAACACTCGAGGCGTATTATCATACACTGGTACAGGAAAAGTAACACAGCTTGCCTCCAGGGGGAGAAGACACCAGAAGCTATGACTTTGGAACCCTCTGGGACTTCATCCTATGTGTTTCTTCCCTTGGCTGATTTTAATCCATATCCTTTCCCTGTGATAAACCATAACCATGAGTATAACAGCTTTCCTTGAGTTCTGCAAAATATTCTAGTGAATTATCAAACCTGAGGGTGGTTTTCAGACAGACCTCCCCGCTCCAGATTTAAACTCAGTGTCTTGTCTTGTAGAGCACTGTACCCTCTAGTCTTTGCAGTTTGGCTATCTCCAGGCAACTGACCTGAAGACAGGCTGTAGCACTGACACCTAATGGCAAAATCTTAGAGCTGTAAGATTAATACAGATCTGCCTCAAATGGAAAGCAGATGTGATCATTGTAATTTTAGCAATAAATAGCCCTCTTTTTCATTAATCAGATCTTTATCTGTTAAACTATTAATTGAGCCAATATATACAATGAACATGATCATATTTATCCCTATAACGAGTCTAAGGGATATTTGCTGCATTGATACAAATTCACTGCTGACGTCAAACTCTTAAAATTACAAAACTCAGAAGTTGCTTAAACACGTAGGCAACTAAGAAATAGGACAAATCTGTTTTCTTAATTGTGGCATGCTTTATAGTTCTTTCTTTCTTTGCGTATAGCCTTCCCAGCATTGGTAAGTATTTCATAATACTGGACAGTTACAGACTTTTTAAAAGAGGTCTGGCCAGTTACAGTGTTGGGAAGATTTCAGTGTCATGGCTACTTTGCAATTGAGTGTAACAGTCTTGGCCTTGGTTGTTGCCTGGGCCTTGAGAATCTCTGATTGTTTCTTAAGAAAGTTTTAAATTCTATTCAGAAGTTCTCCTTTGGTCCTTGTGGCTTCCAGGAAGGGCATGGTTTCTAGGCTCGGCAATTTTTGCTTCCTGGCTGACTCTGGTCTGGTTGTGTCTACAGTCGAATAAATGTCCTCAGTTTATCTGATGGTCACAGGTAGTGGCTGAAGAAGAGGAGTATAAGTTTGTTTTCTTACAAAGGTAAATATGTTTTCTCAAATTATGGTCATTTCTATAAAACTATCAATTTTAGGAAATGAGCAAATTCTGAGAAACCCCAAGGAAGAAAAGCCTTTTTCTAGCAGTCCTGGTTTTTTGGGAAACCTTTAAGCAACTTGTATATATTTTAAAGAAAAATAATCTTTTAAAAGACTGTACAAATAATTTTTAAAGGCTCCTTTCTGAATTATTTACTTAAATATAATTTTAGGATAATTTAAATCTTTATATCCTCCCTACATAGTGTGAACATTTTTCCCCCTAATGAATTAGGAAGGAAACTGATAAAATTTATGATATTTAATATCATGACTAGCAAATAAGGGTAAATTGATGAAATTTTTAAATTCAGATTTTTATTTGTGGTTAATATTCTACTGATATTTTGTATATTTCTTTCTTATATTAAAAAAAGAAATAGACATTTTTTCCCCCACACAGTATCAACACTAGGGAAAGAAACAGAAACACCTCTTAAGCCACTGGACAATTTGTTTTAACATATGAGAGAACAGTACTATTTTATTAATCCTATAATAGGATTTCCTCTTCTCTATTCTTCATGCTTATTGGCTGTCTTTTAATATCTGTCCTCACATTTAAAAAGAGTTTCAAGGATTAGATTAAGGGTCTAAAGTTTAAAATCACTGGAGACTTGATTGAATTAAAGTGTCTGCGCTTCAGGGTGGGGGTGGACAGAGCTCAAATACCTACAGCTAATATTTGCACCTAGGAAACAGTGCATACACGTGAGGGATGTAAACTAAAACTCGCAAGCTTTATTCAACAGAGATAACTCAAAGATTGCAGTACCAGAGTTATTTAAAGGCATGTCAGCTTTAAAAAAATGAAGATGGCTTAGGATTAAAAGGAATTAATCAATTGAACATTAAAACTGTATAAAAAAAAAAAAGGCAGCGTTTGCACATGGGTTAGTAACTGTAATAATATCACTCTTCTGTCCAAACCACTAAAAGGTTTTATTAAATTACATGCCAGTAATTTGACCTTAACAGGAGATAAATATGATGTTATGGTGTTTTCCTCTCTTTATCTTTTTTCCATGCTTTTTGGGAAAATGGAAGCTTTTAATCTAACTGATTTCAAGCATGAACTTTTGAACCAGCTTACCTATTAAGTCCTGCCTTCACTACTTATTAGCTGTGTGATTTAAGGGAAGATATTTAGCCTCTCTCTTCTCATTTTCCTCATCTGTACAATGTGATAATAATACTATAATGGTTAATAAAAGTATACCTAATTCATAAAATTATATCCATGAATGAATACTTGTACAGCACTTAGAAGCATATCTCTCATGCAGTGCTAAATAACTGCAGGGGTCAGAATTTTGGAACTTTGGCAAAGGGTACACTGTTCAAAAAATAGAAATAATCCAAAAAAGCACTTAAGTTTATCAAGCATTTGGCCTTTTTTAGAGACTGGTAGGAGTGATAATCCTGTGCAATTATTTTTTTTTAACCAAAGAGCCCTTGTCTTACAGAAAACTAAAAATGATACTCTGGAAAGTTTACAATCTCCCTGTAACTTTTACTATTAAGAGTTCTCCTTTAGACTGTTAAATTTTTTAATATGCTTGGATCCTGACTTTCTCTGTCCTGGCTTATACTGGCCCTGCTGCTTTCTACAGCATCCAGATGCCAGGATGATTATACAACAGCAAAGAAAGATGACAGAGGTACAGAGGGCCACCGGAGCCAGCCACATCTTTGAAGTCACAGATGCCCATTCAGGTGTCATGTCTTCATTCTCACATGTGTGGTTTCTGCTGTTGGACCCCTTGGTTTTGTTTAGTAATTGCTTGCTACTGTTGACTTGGGAGGGAATAGGCCTATGGAAAAGTTTCGTGTCTATGGGAACAAAGAAAGGAGAAATAGTCTTGTTATCTGGGTTATTGATGAAATCAGTGCTGTGTGACACCATATTTACCTCTGTGGTAATGGAGTCATTCAGGGAAATGAGTCTTGCCCAGGAATCTGTGGTTAATTCCTTGGAATGCCTGGTATTGTTTGTGTTGACAACCAAATCTTGATGTGGGGTTGATGATGGTGCCTTTGTTGATGGTAGCATTTGGTTTATCACGGTAGTTTGTTGTTCATCTAAATGTGTAGCTTTTAAAATCCTTAGTCTGTCCCATGTGTTAGATGAAGAACGGGTATTTAGATATGTGGGAGGTGATTGTTCAAAAACCAGCAAATCTGGATCTATACCTGAAAGATAAATAAAGCATCATTCATTTTATTTTTTATTTCAATGAGAGAACCTCAAAGCACAGGTTGGAGAAGCCTTGCCACTGAGTTAGTGAACTAAGCTTAAGTTCAAATTCTACTATTGCATACTTCTGAAAAGGCTTAGAAACATACTGACCACATTTGAATTTATCTTAACTTTCTAGAACACTTTCTGTTATAAACAACTTTGGCTACATCATAGAAGATTCTTTGTGTCTGCCTGGGTAACAATAGCCAATGTTAGTGCAAGAATTGCAAAAGACAGTAACCATTTGAGATATATAGCATCTTAAAGTTTTAAAAAATAATACAGAAGTGTAACTGTATTCAAAATCATGAGCAAAGCCCTCCGACTCCTCCCTATCCCAGTCCCTGAGGGTCCTGACTTTGTCTTCAGTATTTTCTCTCTTGTAAAGAAACTCCTTTCCCTCTGACTTCAGACACATGCAAATATTGCTCCATCTGTAAAGGGGAAGAAAAAACCTCTCAACAGCTTTTCACTCGTCTCTCCTGTCAGTTTCTGTCTCTCTCCCTCTCTCCCTCTAGACACACCAACATCCATTTCCTTTCTTTGTTGTTTGCCTTCTGCCATCTTGTTCCGTCCTCGCTATTCTGTCAGAATTATGCTTCTGAGGTAATCAGTAGTTTCCATATTTCCTGATCAACCTCATTGCTTTGACTTCTCTTTTATCCTCAATATTGCTGGCCATCCTTTCCTTAAAATTCCCCCTCCGTGACTCCCTGGAACACAGACTCTCTTGGCACTTTACCTCAGACTGCCTGCTTCTCATTTTTTCTTTCTTTAGCTAGTTCTCTCCTTGGTCCAAACTGGTTGTGTGCTTTCCACAATCTTTAGTCCTTTGTCTTCTGCTGAATTTTCCCTTCATCTCATCCATTCACCACACACACACGAGTATCCTCATCAACTGTCACCACTGCATCAGTGACACCGAAATCCACATGACCAGTTATTTCCTCTTTCTTGGTCTCCGGTCTCATTTCTCCTGTGCTCTACTGAGGGTTCTCACCTAGACATCTCATGTCATCACTGAACATTCCCAAAGCCAAAATCATTTTGTCTGGCTCTCTGTCTCTTTCAGTGAGCTCACCAATCTTCCATCATCCATGCTGGAATCTGTATGTACACAGAGGAATCGCTGACTCCTCTCTCTTCTTTTCCTTCATCCAAGAAGTAACTAGGTCCTATCCAGTTCCCTCCCAAAGTGCTGGTAGTCATCCCTCCTGTTCATGTGCAGTTATGGTCACCTTCTCCAGATCTAATGCCTCCCTGACTAGATATTCTAATTTGCATCCCGCATATAATTTTCCTAGACTAAAGACAACCACACTCATCACTTTCATGATGGCATTTTCTCATTAAATGTCTTTGCTGGTTCTCTCTTGCTGACAAAGTCAAACCAAAACACTGCTCTGTCCAAAGCCCTTTTGTAACCTGGCCTACCCTATCTTACCCAGACTTTCGTTGCAACCCCAAATGTGCCCCTTTTGTAGCCAGACCTGTTTTCTTACTTTCCAGTGGTGTGACACAGAACTCCTTATCTTGTCTCTGCCAGGCCTCTTCCACAAAGCTGCCTCTGAATTTAGCTTTCTTTAGTCTCCTCTTCTTTTGAGTGCTTGTACTTGAGGCAGTATCACACGTTTTGGTATTCAGTTACACATTGTACACTAATTGTGAGATTTGTCACATCAACGAGATTGTAATAAACTCGAGGGCAGAGATATGGCTGCCATCTTCTGCAGTGCTGCTCCCAGCCTGAATTAGCTGTTCAGTAAGTACAAATCGATGACGAAATTTATCGCCTTTGTATTTGGATGGCAAAAATCTATTCTTTCGTGTTTACCAATTTGCAGCCTGAGTTTATATACATGAGCAAGGGACACTTGAGTGTGTATTTATCTAAAATAATGGATATCTTGGTTATCTTGGGACCACTGGTATGCTAATGTATGTTCGTAAGTGCATTTCCTTGTCCTTGACATCCATCTTTGTAGAATCCTTGTATGCAGTGTCGATGGACCTCAAAACTGCCATGAAGCATTTTCTTTATTGCTGGTAGCACCCTTAGCACCCCCAGTAGAAATGCCTTTTTTGGCTCTTGCTGGGGGCTCCTGGAATAAATGTAATGCTTAAGCTCTTCCTCAATCACATACGATTTGTTACCATCTGGAATGAACTCATCATTCCCGAGCATGCCAAACTAAAGCGAATTTACTTTTAGTTTTCTGCCCTGGATGCCCAAACCTTTTCCAGATAGAGATTGCTGGAAAATAATGATTCAGGTTGTTGCCAGCCAGTTTCTAGGGTTATACATCTCTACTAGAGCATTACCAACATTCTTCAACATAAATACAAAATACATAAATCATTACCTTCTGTTATGTTGTATAAAATGGCCCTGGTTCCGGGCTCTAATATGCAGCTCTCCAGCGTGGGGCAGTGAATATGGAGGCAGTTGACATTGTCATGAATAGGATCATGGTAGAAGACAGCCACGTTACAGGAAACTGAAAGGAAAAGTGCATCTGCAGATGGTTTTGGTTTCTCCCAGCTTGATGAGCTCTGAGTAACTTATATTTCTTTCAAGAACATTGGATTAACAGCAGTATATTGCAGGGCTATGTCCAGACACCTTACAGAACATTGTGAACTACAGTAACTGGTTTCCCCGAATATGGAAAATGCCCTTTTAAAAGAAACTATCCACTGATTTTCTCTAATCTTTCACACATTCCATTCCACACAGGATTACCCGGAATCATTTTCCAATCCCAGTATTTTATGTTCATGAAAAGTTCAATTGGCTACAGAAGCCCCTCGGGCTTATCAGATTTATAGTTGCAGTGCCCTCTCAGAATGCTAAGGCACTGGAGTTCACCAGAGAAAGAAATAAGAAAATAAAGTGACAGATGTTGTAACAAAAGAGGGAGTCATGGGAAGGCAAAAACTGCAATTACTGGGAGAGGCCCAGATGGTGGAAAGGCAGCAGGCCAGGTGAACACTACCCTGATCCTGATTATAGGGGAACACTAGTCCCATGTTGCAAATCACATCCAACGAAAAGCCTATTCAGAGTCCTTTAAAGAGGAAGAGAGTCTACTGACAAGGATGTGAGCATTTGGAATTCTAATGGGTAGGGGTACATCACTGATGCTATCCCCCTTCTACTAAATAAGTTTGCTCCATAAAACGGACGGTGTTATTTCTGGAAAACCTGAAGTGTGATTTGCTGAGTGCCAGTCTTCAGTCTGTCCTCCCCAAAGTGCAAAACAGGCTTTCCTCCTGCTGCAGTGTAGTAGGGACCATGCGCTGGGAAATATCCACTGACCAAAGGTATCAACTTCTTTAATAAAATAAGATTACAGAGGAATAGCATACAATTACTAGACCTCAGAGTATGCCTAAAGCTGTTGTGGAATTGCGGTTGGCAAAACCTTTGCTGCCTCTGTGTAAGGTTAACTGTGGGGAGCTTCATCCCCCCCCACCCCGTTACTTCTGGGGCATCCAGGAGGATAAAGAAGAGGGCAGAATTCAATAATACATTGCTAATACATTTTAGATTACAAATGCATTCCCTAAAGACTGGGCTGTCAAGTTTAAGGGAAAGGACTAAAAAATATTCAAATTTAGACATCTAAATTTTTGATAAGAAAATAATTGATGCTGTAAAGAGAGCAATTTTAAAAGATGTTTTATATTCCTCTTTGTGTACACTTTAGAGTTCCAGTTCCGAACAGGTTAGCTATTGCAGGACTGTGGCTTTTTAAAGTTCTGGCTTCCAGCTAAAAACAGAGACGTGTGTTCGTGCCCTTTCTTTTGGAGGAAAAAAACCACAACTTGGAAGCTACAGAGGCTCTAAAATCATGGAATTCTACTGGATGCTTATAGTATCCCTGGAAGTCGAGAGAACAAAGTTTCCCTGCGATGGACAGTCAGGTAAATTGATGCCATGGGAAAATGCTGAAAGATATCCCCCCCCCCCACCTTCCTCAAGGCTTATGGGAATTAGAAGCATCTCTAAGGTGAAAATCTGGATTGGCAACCTTTTCAAAAAGATTCCCCTTTAGGGGCACCTGGGTGGCTCAGTCAGTTAAGCCTCTGCCTTCGGCTCAGGTCATGATCCCAGGGTCCTGAGATCGAGCCCCACATTGGGCTCCCTGCTCAAAGGGGAGTCTGCTTCTCCTTTCCCTTTGCCGCTCCCCCTGCTTGTGTGCTCTGTTGTGCTCTGTCTCTCTCTCAAATAAATAAATAAATTCTTAAAAAAAAAAAAAGATTTCCCTTTAATAAATTAATTGTTCTTTTTTTTTTTCCACAGGAATGCTATTTTGTGTGTGTGTGTGTGTGTGTGTGTTTTCTAATCTATGATTAGACATAAAAAGCCTATACCCAAAGGAGACTGCAGGAAAACTGGAGATAACTTAGTTATTTTTAAGAACAGGCAATTAACTGGGAAAATTTAATCAGTGATAACATTTATCAAAAAGACGTGAAGTAACAAGCATCATGAAAAACATTACCTTTATATCAGTGATAAATAAAGACCTCTTGTTTCTGTAACTATTTTATCTAACATTATAAAAATCAGTGATACAATTTTGTGAGTGTGAATAACTGCAGAACATTTGGACAGTTTGGTATGTGTTTATATTTACGTTGAAAGTTTCAATTTACTGTTTGATAGGGGTAGTGATGCCCTTGACATAGAAACATATTTTGTAGGTAGGCTAACAAGGATTTGAATCCCACTCTCTTTCATTCATCTTAATAAGCTGTGTTATTAGTAGCAAGCATTTATTTAGTGTTTACTATGAGCCAGATGCTCTAAGTACATGGATATTCCTTATCTCTTTTAATCCACAGAAGAATCCCTGGAGCCACTTCTAGAAACACAAGCCTACATAGTAGTAAGTGATGAAGCTAGGATCTAAACTGAGTTCCGTAAAATGCCAAAGCCCATATTAGATATTGTATCATACCACCTCCCTGTGTGATCCTGAGCATAACACACATATACACCCCCTAACTCTGAAACCCAAAAAGCTTTGGAAATTGCTAGTTTTTTATAACCTATTTGGTGGCAAAATGAGACCTGAATGGATGAAAAATTATTTATAGCCTTTGTTTATCCCGTTTAGTATGACTGCATACACGTTGCTGCAAAAATGGTAATGTATTTGATTTAGGGAGTCCGGCGGTAGACCTTCTCTGGAAATGTTACAAAATATATGGTATATGCACTGTATTGATTTTCTAAAATACAAAAAATTCTGAAATCTGAAACATTCGCAGGTGGCTGTGGCCCCCTACTTAACTTCCATAATAATTAATTTTCTTTCCGTAGAGATGTTAACATCTAATCCAGTAGGTTTTAATGGGAATTGTATGAAATAATGTATGTAAGCATTTCAGGTCCATGGCATGTAAGTATTTAATTTATTGGTATTGTTACTATCATTATCTTGGAATTTATATTCAACTGTGCAGAGTTTGGATACTAAAGTTACTAGAATTGTTGAAAACATGGGTTTTGTTTAGCTTGCAGCTGAAGCCTGACACTGCTTTGTGTCTGTATAGGATTAGTAGGAAGCCATGCCTTCTACAGAATGTAGTTACTTTCACTTAGCGCTGACTATTTGAAATAGTACTAATTTTCTCCTGTAAATGTACGTTATCCCTTAGTGCAGGATTTCCTAACCTTTTTTGTGTCACTACACAGAAAATTCTTTACTGAGATGAATGAAGGAGGAGGGTGCTCGCGCTCCTCCAGGCTCACCTGGCCGCCTGAGGGCTGAGGGAATCAATATCATGGTGCACCTGTAACGCTTTGGCAGAGCAGTCTAGAATTGCATATACCAAATGTAAGCAGAAGATAAATGAAATGTTGGAAATTACTAGTGAATTTCCTTTGGTTACCTCTTTCTCTTAAGTGTCCGTTTCAGAGTAGGTAAGAAAATTCACAAAACCTGGGTGAAAGTTAAAATTTTTTAAATAATCTCTTAATTGCTTCTCTTAATTGTTTTCTAGCAGTCAAGCATGAAGTAGATTAGGAATTTTTTTTTAAAGTATAAGATAGATTGACTGTTTTACTTAATGCTTATATAATGTATTTGTTGGCATCTTAAAGATACTTCATTTGTCAGAATTATGAAGAAACTATGACACTGTCTTAGCATTTAAAGCCCTACCAAGAGTAGATAGGACCAAGGATACATTTAATTTAGGGCATTTGTTTTTTTTTTTTTAAGGGGCTGACATTTATTTCTTCCCCAAATATTACAGAAAAATTAGGTGGGGTAGGATAATTTTGTCAGTTTTCTTTTTAATGTAAAATTCGGAGTTTGGCCATTAGAAGTTATTTGCAACAGGCTTGTACTCACAGGGCACAAGAAGTTGTTTCACATTATCCACCCACCCCACCCCCAGCCACGCCTGTAGCCTTACTACCAGATTAAAAAAAGGGGGTATAGAGTTGATTCTCAACCAGGTAATATATTTCTAGAACATTAGTTGAGACATTTTCCTCAGCCATAAATTCAGGATCGGGAGGTGGAGCAAACAGTACGTAAGGAGTTGTGAGTACAGATACCCCACTTTGGCTAAGGGATTTGAGGGTCAGGGGAAACACTCCACATCCTTTTGGTTTATCTTGAAGGAAAGGATACTCAGTTTGAAGGATTAAAAGAGGATTTCTTTTTCTTGTGGTTCTCTGTGGTGGAGGAGACTCTTTCCTGGCCTCCAGTGACCCCGAATGGGGTTAGCTGAGTCCATGGCATACCCAGTGGCCTGTTTGCAGTTGGCAGGGTTCCTCTTTACCCTTTGAGGGACAAATTTCCAGTGCTTTTTCTCTTTTCATGGTCTCTAACAGTGAGGTTGGGGACGGGAGGGAGGCAGAAGCGGACACTGTCTCACTTAATTCTAAGCAGACTTGGAGCTCTGTCTACTCAAGTTGGGGTCTCTTTCAAGAGGAGTTTTCAGAGACAAAATATTTTTGACAGCCTTACGAATCTGTCTTTCTTTTAATACTTCAAAAATGTTATAATTTGAGGGGTTTACCACCTTCAAAAGTTTTAAGAATATTGGATGATTCTATAATAGCATATAGCTCAGAATATGTTATGTGTTACTTTGGAAAGAATGTGGCTGGCATTCAGCACTTCATTGAACCAGGACATATTATTTATTAACTGTGTTCCTTGATTTTTCACAGAATGTTATATCTTCAACTAAATCATAAATCTGAATTATATTACTATAAAACCTAACAGTGTTCCCTAGAATAGCATAGTAGTAATTTTTGTGAGAAAAAACAAGTAGTAACAAAAACTGTTTCCATTATAAGGAACAGAAAATAAGGATAATAACAAAATAAAATTCCAGAATATATGAAGTCATTATGACTAAAAATCATGTATTACACATATATTTTATATTTTTTATTTTATTATAATAATTGGTGTTCCTTGTCATCCCCACAGGCATGTTACAAAGATAAATACAGTCTCTTCTCAACTCTTTATTATTTTTAACCTCAGAAATGTGAAATGTTGATGTGTTAGAGTTTAGGGATTAGAAAGTTACAAAAATGAGTTTTCTGTATCTTTTGGGAAACAGTATTGGTTGTGAGTGAAATTTGCAAGGCAGATAAAACAGAAATTCTGTGGGTAGAATTAGTGAGTGGTAACAGAGTAGTCACATCGTAGGGTGTGGGGTCCTGAAACAGTTGGTGCAGGTGAATAGCAGTGCTGTAAGGGAGGGAAATCAA